GAATATGCTGATGTATGATTAGGTAGATGCAAAAGTGGCATGAGCTTCTTCGGCTTTGAGAACTAAGCCTGTGTGATGCTGACATGGTGGTCAATGATACTTTAGAGTGGTTGGTCTTCCGGTTCCAGAGGAGAATAGGTGTTTACTGTGAATTTTGGTAAACAATCATTGGTCTATCAATTCAAGATGCAATTGACTTAACTTGCAGGATCGACCATATTAAATCCTAGGACATGTGCTAAGTATGTAACAAGGTCAAGAATGTAAAGTGCGATGATGTAAAGGCTTAAAAAAACAAAGTCGAAAATAAAGGCTTTAAAAAGTAAAGTCGAAAGTAAAGGCTTTGAAAAGTAAAGTCGAAAGTAAGGGTTTTGAAAATAACAATTGCAATGTAAATGCGAAGAGACTACCACCAAACTCCACGTTCGACTGTAATTCCTTTGAGAAATAAATGACTTTTGAAGATAAAAATGCAAGTAAGTAAATTGCTTGGAAAATAACTCTAATCAGAACTCCGCGTTCGACTAGGGGATCTTTGAAAAGTAAATGTGCAGCAGAATTGTAAAGAGCAGTTTAAATGTAAAACTGAAAGTTTAAAAATGGCAAGGAAGTTGTAAAGATAAATTGCATTGATAATAAAGGATTTGGTGTTGTATCACGTACATTCTCGTTAACTCGTTTCTCTACACGCGGGTACTTTGAGTTGTATGAAATAGTACAGAAATGAATGAACACCTCTATTACATAAAATTTACACCTATTTATAGTGCTATAGAATAACTACTACATGGCGGTTGAGACTTCTTAGCATTCTCTTTTGGCGCCTCTTTGTTATTCCAACCGCTCACACGTTCTCTTTTGCTTGATTTGAATTTTGAATATTTGGTAATTTCCTCCAACTTGGCGAAACCGTCTTCGTGTTTTCCTTAGCATGGTCTTCGTCGAGCATTTTCCAACACTTAGCGTTTTTTTGGAACCTTGGTCCATCTTTCTTTGACTTGAAGCTTTCCTTGATTGGGTCGAAACCCTCTCACTTACCAAGTATTGATGATTTTGACCTAAGATAGCTCCGGCCTCGACTAGCATCGAAAATTAAGAGCCAACAATAAGATATACAACTCTTTTGACGATTGCGTGGTCCTGTTTTATGAGTGCTTGTTTACGAAGGATATGACTTTGGATGCCCTTTTCTAAATTTGAGCTAGTTGTCCTAAAAAAATGAAAGATTTCCCCTACGCAACTTCATCTGGGTCATGGTCATATATAAGGTTTTCCCAACTGTGTTATGAGCACAAGTCTTGGAAGCCCTCTATTAATTTATTGTTTAATCTTTTCCATCCGAAATGTACTTCCTCGGATAACTTTCGCAATCAATGGCACATTTACTTCTATCTGGTCCATCAATGGTTTGACCCATTTACTTTGGTGTGAGGAAATTTTCTAGGACGTTTTGTATTGGTGAAGCCCTTTACTTCTGCTGATCACTCTTTTTTCTGTTATGTCCCTATTAACTCTCCTCGCTACTATTATTTTTCATATCTAAATTTTTGATCCAAGCCCTAATTTAACCGGTCTGCTCACTCTTATTGTTCCAAGTTGAGTTCTATCTCTCTAGACGGGGTGACAACGAAGGAGAAATGCATTCTTGGTTTCAGGGACTTAGTTATTAAGAATGATTTAGCCTCGGTGAGATACCCTATACCGAAGTGAGGAAAAGGCAGATTGATACTCTTGTTATGTTTGGTTCAATTAATCTTAAGAAGAGGAGGAATATATTTGGTGAGAGCTGGGTTTTCGTGCTTTTATTTAAATATGTGATTGCGTTTTGCAAATGGCATGGACTAAATAAGCAAGTTGAACATGTTTTACAACCTCGTCGATGCTCAAGTTATTCAAGTTGTGGTGAATATTGAGACTTCTTCTTCTACCCCTCTTGCTCTAGTCTCTTATCTTACCCCGGTTGTAGAAGCTTCGACTCATGTGCTCGAGGCGAATCATCTTGTGGAAGCTGCAACCACTTTGATGGTGGGGCAACCAGCTTCGCCTTCATTTTTGACCAAAAGGGCTCGGGAAGTGGACCAAAAATCCCCTCGGGTTGAGTGTTCTCCAAAATTGACTCGGGCCACTGAGGATGAAGCTTATGGGGAGATGGCTCCTTTTTATAAATATATCAGATGTTTTATCTTCTCATCTTACATGTAATCTTAAGGAGACTGTTGTTATTTTCTCGGCGTCGGATTTATCCTTTGTTCTAAATCTTCTAAAGCGTATAAAATGGAAATGGCTTATAAGCTTGCTTATAACATGTTCAAAGTTGTTTGTATCTTTTCTCTCATTTTTGTTGGATGGGGTAATGTCTTAGCCTCAGGTAGCCCCTTAAAGGAAAAGGATACTTGGAAAGGGAATGTCGAATCTATGAAGCTAAAGAGTGTCGACCTTTAGAAGGAGCTTCTTGCGTTGTAGAAGGAAGTTACGATTGTTAACTCTCTGCAAGAGGCATAGAAATTACATGGCTCGCCTTCTACCCTGGCGGCTCGTGTGGCCGAGCTAAAGATGCTCTAAAAGAGGCATAGAAGCTAGGGGTATTCGTGGTGCGGTTTGGATCAGTTTTGAAGCATAGTATTATATGTTCCAAAGATATATTTACTCGCGGTTTGGTTTGGTTTTGGATGATTGGTTTAAAAAATATGATCCAATCCAATTTTACGCAATTTGCTTTGGATCGATTTTTGGATATCCAGCCAGATGCCACTGTTGTAGATGAGATGGTTCGGCCAGATTCCACTGTTGCATATGAGGTAGTCCAGCCAGATGGTGTTGTTACATATTTTGATCTCATTCGTTGTTGTTGACACAAAGGTTACAACTCCTCGATCGAGCTATTTGTGCACACTGATAGAGGATTCTTGGAAGGACCTATTGACCGGTCGGTCTTTATCGAGTATGCTGACCATGTGACATACCAACTATGATAGGGAAAGGTATATATATTTTATGTTTAACTTTAATTTATCTATTATTGTGCCATGAAAGCTAACTACTACTTTTTTAAAAAAAAATTGTTTGTTACAGGACCGTCTCCCACTGAAGATGACATCACATGGATAAAAGCTGAAGAACTTATCGAAGACTCTGATTCCTGAGCGGGTCAGGCGTATTCTACTTGATTTTGAGCTCCTTGATTTTTTCCGCTGCTCTCACACCATGCTCGACGCTCCACTATTTACTACTTTTGTTTAGACACGGCACAAGAAGACATCTTCATTTCATTTTCCGCTTGGGGAGATGACTATCACTTTGGATGACGCCTCATCATTTTTCCATCTCCCCCATCAGCTACAGATTCTTCATGACTCTTGCTATTAGCACGTTACTTGCATGTTTGACTGTTGTACGAGAATTAGGAGTTTTTTAGGAGATCGTGCTGAAGGAGTTTGACTTCAACATGGACGCTCACCTTGGTATGTCTTGGATTCAAAATAGGTACGAGGAGCTTGTTACGACACAAAGGTACGAGGATGCTGCTAGGGTGTACAGGCTACATCTAGTAGCATGTACTCTTTTTGCAAACAAGTCAGGTGTTTATATCGACGCCTGATACGTGAGGTTGTTCAGTAGCCTTGACGTTGCTAGTTGGGCTTGGAGTGCACTGTGTTGACCATCCTATATACAACACTTGGATTGACGATAATATTTGAGACCAGACAGCTTGCTGGTTATTTGAATCTATTACATGTATACTTGAAATTATTATTTGTTGTTGAGTTCTTATTTAATTGTTACAAATAACATTTCTTAATTATTATTTGTTGTGTCTGTGTTCTGATATCAGTGCTTAATATACAAGCATTTATCCATCATATATGACAAAAAGGTGCAACGTTCCCTAGTGGGGTCCTCACGGACGAGAAGATGGAGGGCCAGACAGTCACATCCCAGTGGTTTTGTGGAGTACAAGAGAAGGCTAGATATGCTAGTTGTAGATGATATCATATGGACATCATACACTAATCATATAGTCCATTGTGAGTTTGATGACTCTTCTTTATATTCAAGTTATATGCGATGGGAGACCATGGTCGCTAAACACTTGCCTTAAATGTGTATGCGATAGTATGGTTATGTTTAGAGCATCCCACGACCAGTTTCAGATATTCCATATGCGGCCATTGACAGGTGGTTTTAGAGTAACATCACCAGCTCTGGTCGTGCCACTAGAGATTGCATAGTTATGGTTTAGCACGCCTTGCAGTGTGAGAATGGTTACTTGGAGTTGTACCTCATTATATCACACCATCGCATCATCCAAACTGTTGAGCATACAGATGATGTTGGGTCTTCTGGTGTTGGGGTACCTGTCGATAACGTGTCATCGTCATCGCTTTCTCCAACATATGTTAATGACATGCAGCGCCTCCAAATGATTGCAGTTATTATGGATAACCTCATGGGTTTGATAAACCCATATGGCAAGGTTTATATTGGATTATTTCGGGCTGCATGCATAGCCCGTGGGGGATCATGTGGTATCATCTGAAAGCCGAAACTCTATGGGAGGTGAAGCTCCGTTGAAGTATACTTCTGCCTTAATAAAAAATTACGGAAGAACCATTTTGAGATGTTTTATCAAAAAAATTATACGAAAAATTATTTTAAATTTTTGTCAAAAAAAACACTTATGAAATTTTAAAAGTATAGAGTGTCGGATATAACTGTGGAGGTTGCAAGTTAAATTGCTGGATAATAGAGCAATGGCCCAGAGATGTTAGAGTAAATGAAGTCCATTCCGAGGCCTTCAATCTAAATATGGGTCCCACCCACAGCCACAAACTTTGTCTTGTATTGGCAACAACATAAAAAAAACACAAAGCAAAAGACAGCATGATTTGTCTCATAGGGCGGTACAATTCAATTTCGAAAACAAAATACGACCGTTGACGACCTTCATCAAACAAACCTCTCACAAACCCCCACTTTTCACTTTCATACCCCCACTCACCATGAGACGCCATGGCTGGCAACGCCCTCTCCACCCTTTACAGGTAACTTAACCTTTGTATTTCCCCCCAATTCTTTCTTTCTTTTTCATCTTCTTGGTTAACCATCGGTTTTCATTGTCGCAGTTTGTAGGAATCGGAATTTATAGTTTTCTTCTAGTTTGTTTCTACACCTTCCTCGGACTTTTCCTTGGAAACCGAACCGCAGAGATAACACTCACCTTCATATTTTCCTTCATGGTAGATAATCTATTCATTTTCCTCTTCTTTTCTGCTAATCTACGTGCTTTACATTATACTACTAATGATAATTTCTTGTTTTATATAGGCAATTTCGGTTATGTTTCTGTTTGTGAGGTGTACTGCGATTGATCCTACAGACAGAACTAGTTTCAAGAAAAAGAACAAAAAAACCAAAAGGAATGTAATTCAGAAGCTCAACTATGGGTTTATTATAGGTCAGATTGTGGTGAGGTTTTTCAAGAGGGTGGAAAAGAAGGTGCTTAGGACTTTCATTAAGCGGAAGTACCTTGATCCGGTGAAGACGAGTGCGCAAGTGGAACCTCTTCTTCCATTTCCACTGGTTATGAAATTTGATGATGATGCTATTGCTCCAGATCTTAAAGAGGATGATATCTCTTTTTGCATACTTTGTGATTTTGAGGTTTTTCAATTACTTATACTCTACCTCTGAAAAAGGCGTGTCCATGTCCGACACCCCGACGACACCGACACTTGTGATTAGTTCAATTTATTTATTCATTAAAATTAGTACGGGTGTTAATGTGTCAATATCTGATGTCTGTCTCTATGTGCGTGCTTCATAATTAGTATTTAAATAAAAAGTTATGAAACTTTGTTGGTATGTGTACCAGGTGAAAAAGCACAGTAAGCACTGCAGAACTTGTAATCGTTGTGTTGAAGGGTTTGATCACCATTGCAGGGTTAGTATATGGTAGACATTTATGATTTGTAAATTCTTTCTGCTCTTTTACTAGTGATATATTACTGTTTTGTTCTATTGTTTTCAGTGGTTGAATAACTGTATTGGGAAAAAGAACTACACGACGTTCTTTCTTCTTATGATTTTTGTCTTGCTAATGGTTAGTACTGAATAGTATAGATGATAGAATTGATTACAATGGAATGTTCAATTTTAGAACACAATACAAGTTTGGATTTAGTTGAATTGAATCATTTTCAACACTGTCTGTTATGTGAGCAGCTTATCATTGAAGGAGGGACTGCATTTGCTATATTTATCAGGTGCTTTGTGGATAAGAGAGGAATAGAAAAGGAGCTTCATAGGAAGCTTTTTGTAGATTTTCCAAGAGGAGTTCTTGCCACCATATGTGTAATAGTTATCTGAATTATTTTTGGGAAATTTGTATTCTGCCATCGGCTTTTGAATTCGATTTGACACCAGTTCTGACTTGCTTTGAACTTTTTGGAATGGTGTAGGTATTTCTTATGGCATTGACAGCTTATAGTTCAGCTGCACTGGGACAGCTTTTCTTCTTTCACGTGCTCCTGATACGAAAGGTAGTTTTTTTTTTATTGCTTTGAAATGTCGACTATGATAAGTTTAAGTTTTAAGAAAAAAAGTGCTAAATAATCAGTTTGACAAACTGCTTCTGCCTTTAACTATCTGTACAGTTCTTGTGTTGCTATTGAATCTTATTTGATTTGTTTAAAGGGCATGAGGACCTATGATTATATTCTTGCTATGAGAGAAGAGAATGACGCCATGGAATTGGAATCGTTTGATGATTCTGACCTCTCATCAGATGACAGTATTGATTTTGACTCACCTGAAAAACCGACACTAATGTCAAGGTTTCTATGCAAAGGACAGGTATGAATTAGATAGACTGCACCATTTTTTTATGCACTGATTGATTCTGTCTCGAACCTTACAGTTAAGCTTGTTTTGAGTTTTCAGAGCTCGCCCAGGTTGTCCATCAAGATTGAAAGAGATACTGAACCTTCCCCCTTGATCAATACAAAAAGGTTTGATGTAAGCATTAACCCTTGGAAACTCATAAAGTTGACCAGTGAAAAAGCTCTAGTCGCAACTGAGAAAGCAAGGGAAAGGCTGGTGCGAGAAAGACCGAAAAGAGAGCATAGTTCATTGAGACCTCTTCCATTGGAGACAAAACGTGGACCATTGATGAATGTAGATCAAAATATAGGCAATGAGGGATCTGGGTCAACATCAACATCTTTTATAACAAAAGGGAAACTTCATGTATCACCAGTAAGGCTTTCAAGCCCAAGAAGAAGATTTTCTGCAGGCTCGTCAACGGTGTTCTCTAGCAGCATGATAGCATCACCGCAACATAAATACCGAAACAGTTTTGACTTGAAGCTAACAGGCGTGTCTAGAGAGCTTGAAACACATATTTCCAAGCAGGTCCTATGTTCAGTTATCAGCAAAGATGGAAGTGAAGTTTCCCCAAGATAGGCATTGTATTTTATAAATTGAGAGTGATTCTCAATCTTAGAGAAAGATTTGTTGATATGTCCATTTTCTTTATAACATTGATTCCTTATATACACATGGGATTATCAATCTTTATAACATTGATTCCTTATATATATACATGGGATAGTTCCAGCTGTAAGTATAACTCGTTTACCTGTTAATTTTCTTACAGTGGCAATGTGGATCATGTTATTTCTCCAGCTATCTATTTTCTTGTTTTCCAAACCTTTTTTTTAATAATCAATGGTAAGTCGAAACATTGTTTGAATTTTCTTCTCCAAAACAAAAGGTAGATAGACAAACAAGAGATGAAATATCCTCAAGTAGTATTATAAACAACTAATAAGGTCAGTTGTGATAAGATAGTGACTAGAGTAAAGGTCTGTTTGGTTCAAATGAAGGAGAGGGGAAATAAGGGATTTTAATGAAGGAAAGGGAAGGGGGAGGGGAGGTGAAGAATTTTTTTAATCAGATAAGTGTGAGAAATTTTAATTAAAAATGTGTTTAGTTCAGAAGGGGAGGAATTTTATTAATAACTTACATTTTTATCCTTATAATCTTATATAAGTCATATGATATTAAAATTTAAAAAAATCATGCATATTTTTGTTGGTAATAAAATTTCTAATATTTAGTGATTAAAAAAGTATTTATTTGTCACATAAAGTTAAAAAATTGAGTACAATTGATTCGACTTATAACTTTACAACCTAAATTAAACTATATGTCAATAACATCGTTTAAATTGTGATGAATCATATAACAAAACAAATATATAAAATAACTAAATATTTAACAAAACAAATATATAATTAAATATTAATGGTTCAAAATATTTAATAAAATGAATAAACAAAAATAAATAAAATGAATGATTTACAATTTGATATAAAAGAAAATATGATAGAATACATAACAAAATTAAAAGAAAAAAACAAATATAACTAAACATAATTTTTTTTTATATAAAAAAAAAAGACAATGATTATGATTTATCTTAAGTATAAAAATTATAAAATAATTTGAAGGTGGAGAAACAATTATAATAAGTTGATGAAAACAATCGAGAAAAAGCAGTAACATGAAAAAAAAACCAATAATTTTGAAATACTGAAATTAAACTGAAAATATTTTAGTAAATATAATAATTTTTAAATATCAAAACTCATATTCCCTCCCCTCCCCTCCCCTCCAAATCCTCCCAATTCGGAGGGAACCAAAAAGTGTGTTTTGGAGGGATTTTGCTCCCCTCTCTTCCTAAGATTTGAACCAAACATATTTAATTACAAATTTTTCCTCCCCTCCCCTCCCTTCCATCTACCCGAACCAACCCTCCCTTCCATCTACCCGAACCAAACGTACCCTAAAAGCAATCTAGCTGCACAATTTCAAAATTGAAATTACGTTCTAAGAGTATTTTGGTAACAAAAGGCAGTACATTTAGTATCTGAAAACCACAAAACTATTTGATAACTCATATGTCATAACAAGCAAAGAAAATGAACAGATAACTTTTACATGACCATCATGCAGCATCATCAGTCATCACCATATGCACGGAAACTATAACGTTCTTGATACGGGCCATTGAACCAAAGATCAGCCTCAAACCACTTTGGATACCGGATTAAGTCTCCGGCAACAAATTGCATGAAACGCTTGCTCCCTTCAGGAACAACTCTTACTTCACCTTCTTCTATGTACACCAGTTGGTCTACCTGCCAATCCCATGGAAAATGGCTTTTTCCGGTCTTCCATACTGACCATCTTGAAACTCCTAGCTGAGCTAGTTTTTCAGGTGAAACTTTTCTTTCCACCCTGACATTGTATAATTCTTCCAAGGGTTTCTCTATGTTCATTGCCTTTACGCAACACCGTTGTGTAGAAGAGTTACCTGGCTTTCTGAAACTCCTTGAACCATTGTTGACAGGAGAATATGTGAAGATTGATGTTGTCAACAAGCTTGCCATGCTGGTTATCTTTGTATACTCAAAAGTGCTTCAATTTTTTAATATCACAAATCTGCAAAATTTTATGAAATTCAAAGACATCATAAGAAAACCAACATATTCACCTCAATTGCCATAAGCATAACACCTTTCGGGAGCTGGATTCTCACTACAATCATGGAAAACACAGTCACAAAATCAATGGATCTCAGACATTGGATAAAGATTAAACGGCTTATATTTTGACTACATCAAATCAGCTTCAAATTAACTTGGAATATGAAAGGTGTGATTTTAATTAAATGGTCGAGACTTGCAATTGTGTGACTCCTAAAAATCACTTCCAACCTTTTGCTGATTCAATAAAGCTAGTGTAGTGAACTATGAAGCACGGACACCAGAAACACAACACCAAAACTAACACGTAGACACTAGTAATAGTTTGAAAAAATGAATAAATTAAACATATTCACAAATGTTGGTGTCGGTTTCAGACACCGACACAAACACTATCGCAAACACACTTATTTCAGAGGCGTTTGTGCTACACATGTGGTGAAGGTAGTGAAGCTGCTTAGTCTCCTTTTTTCCTAATATTGGTACTTGGTAGTGTGTCTATTTCCATCTAAATGGAACAAAAAGGAAACAATTTACCAACTAACTCACTATATAGTCAATTCAGTCGATAAATTGAAACCACTAGATAAAGATCAAACACCTCACATTTTGATTTCAACAAATTGAATTCAAAACAAAGAACTCTGTATGTGAATCATCCAACGGTTTCAATTTACCGGCGACTAAGGTGACTGCATATGTATTGAGAAGCCAAATAATCTGAACCCAATTTTCTAACTTTAGGTTTTCAAAACTTGGACAAGGGAAGGCAATAAGCATGACCTGAGAGCAAGGGATCAAGGAAAGGCAATAACACATACACATACACACTGAAAACAAAAAAATTACCAATCTTCCACTTCAAGTTGCTATAAATGATAATTGAAATTTGTAATAGTAATTCATTGTACATATCATCCATCTAGAAAGAATGCACCAAGCATGCGAAATCAAACACTAGGAATGTAATTAGGGTTTGTTCATAGTCCAATTCACGAACGAGTGATAAACAGATAAGCAAGCAAATTCCATACCTAAACGAATTCCGATAATCATAGTTAATATGAACACCACATTACAAAGAACAGAAGAAAAAGAAAAGTAACAGTACATAATTAAAGTTGGAAACTTTACCTTGTGAAAACAATAGGTGGAGATTTGTAATTGCAACGAGATGAGAGATTCTAGCTTCCTTTCTACTGGGAAACGATAAACCCTTTCTGGGTACTCAGGTTTATCTCTTAAAATTTTAACCTTTATATTATTTTATCTATTATCTATTCTAATATGTTGTTGCAAAGAAAGAAAATGCGTTAAACTGTTAACCAATTCCAATTATGTATTTAGAAAAAATATATTTTAATATTAAAATATCGATATTACATAGTAATTATAGGTATTTTACACTACATTACCTTTAAACTCTATGAAAATATTAATTCTAAACCATGACCAACAAAATGAGTCATTTCATTCCATTAAGCATCAATTAAAATCTAATATAGTACTCTTAAAATCTTATCAACATAAAATTTTTAATATTTATTTTAGTACTAATGTATAATATTATACTCATATTTTTTGTATAAAAATATCATTATTAATATATTTTAAATATTTTATTTTATTTTTTTCATCTATTAATCATTATTTTTTTATATCAACTTTTTTCTGAATTTTAAATATATTAAAGAGTGTTTTACTTCACAAAATTTATGAATAATTCTTTTAGTAAAGAATTTTTATTCGTATTTATCAATTTAAAAAAAATGTTAGATAAAAAAGACTAATTTGACATAAAAAAAATTAAAGAATCAATTTAATCTCAATGATATAACTATGAGAATAAAAAAATTATTTTGCCATTTTTAAATTATCATAAAAAATATATAATTTAATATACAATGTTAATATAAAAGAGTATTACACATAAATTCAATCAAAATATTTTAAAATAATAAATTATATAAATAATTTAAAATTCATAGATTTGACAAGATAGATATTTGTCATTGATTTTTGACAGTGTTACGTTGCATTATCTCTTTTCTAAAAAATGTATTGCAATGCTTAAAATAAAATTGTTAAATAATACATTTAAATTTAATTTTTAATTTTTAAGTAGACAAACAAACACCTTACATTATTTCTAAAATATAATTCTAAATTATAATTATAGTTTCATGATACAAAGTTAATCTTTAAATATAAAATTAAATAATCATCCATTATATATAAATATTGTATAATATAGTATATTATACATAATTAATATAAAAAGAAAATTCAATTGAATAAAATTAATTGTATACTATTCTGGGCTAGGTCGGGACCTGCCTCTCTGTCAGGCAGGCTCAACCCAACACTACGTTGGAGAGGTCTAATAAAGCACAATCCTTCCATGTCGGGTACGGGTCATATATGTCGGGCAGACGACTCTTTTGACGGGCAAACTCACACGTTTCCCCACGTTCTATACGTGCTCCTCCACGCAGGGACACATCATCAGACAACTACCCACCTCCGAAAGAGTTGGTCAACCCACTTTTCGAAGATCACGGGACAGTTGATCTAGGACGAAGACCATGTGTTGGTCTTCACTAAGCCACGTAAGCCCTGACAGTTACTTGGATTGGGCCTGGCAGTCTGACCCAATGCAAGTAATCGTTGGTCCTGCGCTGGGGTCTCTCTATAAATACCCTCTTTCACTAGAGGGTCAGGTATCTTATTCTCTACACCTACTTCTCTGTATTTTCTCTCCCACTCTGATCCTTTACTCACTTAAGCATCTGAGTGTCTTGCAGGTACACCCCCTCTTTCTCCCTAACTCCGGTGAAAGCTTCAACTCAACTACGTGTGGTAGACCATTAATCTTTTCTGATCAGGTGAGATCAGTGGCGCCGTCTGTGGGAATCTTAGCTTCCCCGTTCTTTCTCATGTCCGAGCACAGAAGCTCAAGAACCAAAGCGAAATCAACCTTCAACTTTCATTCCAATCATGGCCGACCCACACAATAACAATGCCTCAGAAGCTCTCCGGTCTGAGGTTCGCGAGGCGAAGAAGGTCGAAGAGGCATTGATTCCCTCCGATGAAGCAGGACTACAAGTGGCCCTATGCATCTCCCGACCAGAGAACTTCTTCGTCAGCGAGCCCACCAGACCACTGACCGCCCTCAGCCCGTGGGAGGACTTCCCGACCACAATGGTGATATCGGGTGGGGGACCCATCTAGCTTTCGATCGGGTCAGTCAAAAGAAAATTCAAGGAGCTCATCGATAAGAGCTCAAAGATGAACGCTACCCTCGATAGGTTCAAAGGGCAATCAAACCCGGTCACCTTCTATCCCAAGGAACTCCCCGGAGGGGCACCCAATGCCAGCATTCCCCTCCTGATCAGAGCACAGATGGCAAACTTTGATGTCCGTCGAATCTTGGTTAACCAAGAAAGTTCGGTGGACATCATGTACCCCCATCTATTCACCACCCTACAACTGGACGAAAGCCATCTGACCCCGTACGTAGGCTCCGACCTCCAGGGCTTCAATGATACGACCACCAAGTCATGGGGATTTATGGAGCTGCTCGTCACATTTGGGGCGGAGGAGACGACCAGACAGGTGAAAGTTCGCTTTCTGGTGATCGAGTGTCCTTCGTTGTATCAGTGCATTCTGGGACGGCCAACCCTCGCTGAGCTGACCTCAGTACCATCGACAGTTCACCTGAAGATGAAGTACTACACGACCAAAGGGCGGATCGTCACCCTCCACGGAGACATTGAAGCAGCTAGAAGATGCTTCGAGGCGGCACTCAAAGGACTCAGTTCCATCAACATCAGCCCCAAACCGGCCAACCGGCCAGCTCGAACTGAGGAACCAAACCCCCTCTCGCACGTCAATAACGTCGACCTCGACAGCCATTTTTCCGGCAAACAGGGTCAAGGCAAAGACCCCGAGGACTAGGGGTGTGCAGAACCCAATCCAACCCGAAGACCCGTCCCAACCCAATAGCTTCGGGTTAGTCTTTTTTCCGTCTCAGGTAAAAAAATAGAAAAACATGACTGTCAAAAAATGAACCCGGTATCAAGTGAGACGGGTTTGGGTTGACCCTCGGATTACCCAACCCGTCCTAATATTATGAATGCACATGTGGTACTATTTATTTATTTAATTTATTAATATATTTAGATTATTCCAAACTAACAATAGACTTTTCCACTTTCCACCTCATAATTTAATATATGCACTAAGTAAATGCTAAGTACACATCTTCCTACTTTCCAACTTTCACACTTTTCTAGTTCTCTTACATCATGTTTTTTTATTTTACATCTTCTTACTATGTTTTAGGAAAAATAAAAAGTTGATGACATATATAGAATTATATCATATTTTTTATTTTTAAAAATTGACTTTAGATGTATTCATTGTTTTTCATTCATGCTAATGATTTTATTCATATTTCTTATTTAAATGAATTTTTTAAAATACTATAATAAACTTTTTAAGTCACTAAAATTTTTTTCTCCATATATTTCGGGTCAACCCAATATCGTCTTACATTAACCCAGTCTAAACTAACTTATATATTATCGGGTTTTTTTACAGGTTTAGGTACGGGTTCAAGTCATTAAAATATCCCGATCAAAATTTAGAACAGGGTTACGGTTAGTCATAACCCGTCCCGACTTGTCCCTTGCTCACCTCTACCAAGGACGCGCCGCCAGAGGACAACGGGAAGCTCCCCCATCCAACACGTCTTATCCCTGACGGAGACTTTGAGCTCATCATGCTAGGAGACAACCCCGAAAGAGGCGTGAAGATCGGTAAGGGCCTGCCCGAACTAGCAAGGAAACAGCTCAAAGCCTGCCTCCGGGAGAATGCAGACCTCTTTGCGTGGAGCGCTGTCG